TAAAACAAACTACTTGGCATTAGGTAGAGTTTTAACTAAGCAAACACCTCCTGTAGTTTTCTATGTTTAAGAGGTGAGAGGGAAGTGCCAGGATTTGGGACTAATATTATCATTTATTGATTGCTTACTACATAGCAGGTTCTAAACTAAGATGACAGCCTCCTTTAGTCTTCAACAAGTGTAGCAGGTAGAAATTTTGCTATCTATCTTTATGGATGAGAAAAGTGATTCTGTAATTCGCCAAAGAACATAGCTTTCGTACGTCAACCCAGGACTGTCCAACTCTGAAGCCCATGCTATTTGCTAATGTATTACATTCTTCTAGTAATCAGAAATGCGCGCAGAGCGTCTAGGAATCAGGGAGGACACAATGATTCATACCGTTAATTAAAAGGATCACTAGGAAATGGGTTGAACACCTTGATGGGTACAGTGTGCCCTGTCTGAGGCCTCCAACCAGTCTGCAGGGCACTGTCACGTCCAGTCGTTTCCCGAGGCCTAGAATGGGCAGGCACTGACTCACGGCCACACAGTCAAGACCCCAGGGTTCGTCGGCCTCGGGCTCCTGTCACCCTCGGGTAGAAGGCGGCCCGAGGCTGGAGACCGTCTTTCCAACCGTGCCACAGAGGACAGGTCGCAGACGCCGGGCTGCGGAGAATGGAGGCAGTCACTGCAGCCGTCACCCGCCCTGCCCTGCTCTACCGGAGCGACCCCCTCCCCACGCCCCAACCCGAAACCCCTCACGTACCGCGCGAGCCGCTTGGTCGCCATTCCCAGCACTCTTTGCTCTTCCAAGTCCAACTGCCGGAAGTCGCTCGACTTCTACTTCCGGTCCGTTCAAACCTCCCGCGAGTCTGAGGAGATGGTTGTTGTTGGCCACTGTGGTTAGGGCAGGGCGGGCGTCTGCCCTCTGCCCGGCTTCTCTTTTGCCTTTCCCGGACGAGGGGCGTGGGGAGTGGTTTGGGGCTAGGAAGCCGCTCGGCAGAACCTCCTTCCCCTTCTGACAGCGGGCGGACGCTAGTCATAGCCGTTGGAAACCGTTAGGAATCCGGTAAACGACGCGAACCGTAGAGCGGCGCGGGTGTCCGGTCCGCGGAACTGGGAGATCGTTGGCACTCTCGCCTTTTTAGGGGGACGGGAAGAGTTCGGTAAACTGAATTGAGAAGCGGATCCCAGGAAGATTGAAAGCCGTCAAGCCTGTGCAGCTCTCCCTCTAGGAGGCGGCACGCGGGGGAATCGGGGCGCTGGAGTTTCCCCAGCTCTAGCTCATCTTTCTCCACAGCCATGGAGCCAGAGAGGGAAGGGACCGAGGGACACCCCAGGAAGGTCAGGAAGAGGAGGCAAGCCCCGAACAAGCTGGTCGGGGCGGCCGAGGCGATGAAAGCCGGTTGGGATCTCGAGGAGAGTCAGCCCGAGGCCAAGGTGAGCTACGAGGGGGGGCAGCAGGCGGCCCGAGGCGTTTTTTTTTTTTTTTTT